GTTGCTGACCTGGGAGAGCAGATTGACAACCTGCAGAGAGTCAAGCAGAAGCTGGAGAAAGAGAAGAGCGAGCTCAAACTGGAGCTGGATGATGTTGTGTCCAGTATGGAGCAAATTGTCAAGTCCAAGGTACGTGTGGTGTTCTGATAGCTTTCTAGATAACATCCATCCATCCATTTTCTTTACGCCCTCCCCACTTAGTGGAGTCGGGAGGGGGTACTGGTGCCTATCTCCAGCTAACGTTCCGGACGAGAGTCTGTGCCCTGCGACAGTCTGGCGACCTGTCCAGGGTGTACCCCGCCTCTCGCCACAGAGACACACAACCATGCACACACACTCACTCACACCTAGGGACAATTTAGAGAAAAAAAATTGACCTGACAGTCATGTTTTTGGACTGTGGGAGGAAACCGGACTACCTGGAGAAAACCCACGCATGCACAGGGTCAACATGCAAACTCCATGCAGAAAGACTGGGGCCAGGAATCAAACCCAGAACCTTCTTGCTGCAAGGCAACAGCTCTACCAACTGTGCCACTGTGCAGCCCCTTTCTAGATAACAACCTCAGCAAAAAAAAATACTATGCAAGGTCTGTGATATGTGCACTATTTCTTTACAGACCATCCTGGAGAAAACTTGCAGAACTTTAGAGGATCAAACAAATGAATACAGAACAAAATGTGATGAATACCAAAGATCTCTCAATGACTTCACCACCCAGAAAGCCAAACTTCAAGCTGAGAATGGTTAGTCTTTTTTCCCACTTAGAAAATTAATGGTTTTCTATAAAAAGGCGTGCACATGTGAACGTTTTTACATCTACAGATGAGCTTTCAAGACAAATGGAGGAGAAAGAATCACTTATTTCTCAGCTCACCAGAGGAAAAAATTCCTACAATCAACAGCTTGAAGACCTAAAACGACAACTGGAAGAAGAGATAAAGGTATGAAATAATTTCTGGATAATATAGAACAAATTATTATTTTTTAAATTTTATTTTACAAAAAAAGAAAACAAAGGTTAAGTCATATATCACATATAATTTATCTTGACCTCAGGCCAAGAATGCATTAGCCCATGCGGTGCAGTCTGCTCGCCATGACTGTGACCTCCT